TGCGCTAGCCAGCCGGTGTGCCCAGCGTGCCCCGTGCTGTCAGAGGAAGAGCGAGAGAGAGAGAGGAGAGCACTAGACAGGGATTTGTTGGTCCTAATGGAATGCGCTCATCTCGGCTTCTACAGCCTGAGCAGCCCAGACAGCTTTTATCAGCAGGCAATCCATCGCTCTCTGGCTGCCTCTGTGCCACAGCAGGGGGGAATCGCTGTGCTTCAAAGCTCAATCCGGGTTAACAAGAAGAATAAAGGGGGGGACTCCTGTCTCATTACTGTCAGCGTGTAGACACGATGAGGGGGGGGGGGATGCACACAGACACTGATGCAACAGGTCCGACTGCTGGGCTCCGGACTGAAGCTGGAAGGACTAACAGGCCGCAGCTGTAGCGTGGCCTTCGGGTCTCGGGGAAGAGCGGGAGAAGGCTGGAGCGGGTCAGATCCACAGCATGGAGGAGTGACATTGACAGTCGCTTCCCGAACCCGGAGGAAGTTTGAGAGGTCTTTTAGATTTTATACGTCGTACGTCTTACAGAACAAAATGGAAATTCGGAGAGAGAGAAAAGGAAACGCGAGTCACTTGCCCTTGAGGTCAGGCAGTCAGCCGGATCCATAAGGCCCTTGGAGTTTGCTCCTGGAGTTTCTGCTGAAACTGGCAGTCTCCCTGTGTGGAAAAGGGGCAGATTGTTTTCCTGTTGCCTCAGCAGCACCTTCCTGTAGCACTGTGACTAAGTGTTAAGAGTTTGTTAGGCCGGATGGGCTTGGACTAGGGGAAATGGGCTGAGCTAGTCGCTCGTACCTGTGGTGTGCAAATATTATCTCTTAGCGATCACGTTCAAGAGCAGTTGTCTAAAGACAACCTACTGTTTTCTTAACCCAGTGGCATCATCTTTAAAATTGAAAGTGACAAAACTATTTGTTTTGGGCTCTTTCTCCCTGCATGGAGTTCTGTTTCGGGCAGCGATAGTATATAAAAGAGGTCCTTCGCAAGTAAAGATATACAAAGGTGTGAGTGTGGGTGGAGGGGGCGGGGTGGGTTTTGTTTGTGTCACTGTGGTTTTTGGACCAGGGCAAAATCGGGCGAAAGACTGATTGCCCCGCGGTGGGTCCGTGCCGGTCTCCAGTCTCCGCTCGTGGGAGGGGGGGGGAGAGGGTCCTGGATTGGGAGCGAGGCCTGAACACAAACTCTCGCGTGGCGTGCAGATTACCCAGCCGCCTCACGTACGCCGACTGTCAGAGCATCAGCTACACTCCGATGGCTCTGTGTGTTCTCGGAAACAGCTGTCACATCTTTTATCGCTTTGCTTCGCCCGTACTGACTTAAGGGTTTTTAGATGTAAACTTGCGTTTTGATTTTTTTTTTCCCTGTTAGAAATTCTGAGTCTTGACATCTCCCTATGCCTTGTAGGATGCGTTGCTGGATCAAATTAATTCGCCGTCCCGTCCAGCATTTCTTTAACGTTCGCTGCCTTCGCCCTGCCATGGGAGACGGACAAAAGCTCCCATTGCATTGCAGTCTGATCTGTTTCTGGTTTTACAAGCTGCCGAGTCCTTGAATCTGCCAGGAGTCGAGCGCTAGACACTTGAAGCCTGTCATCTTGGCTCGGGTTTGGTTGTAGAACAGGTGTACCAGTAGCACCGGGAGCCGCGCCCACACAGGGCACGGCTTCGGCCCAGCCGCGTGCGACTCGAGCCCACGTTATCCACGCAACGTGACGGCGTCTCCCCAAGTGGCAGCAGTTTGCAGGCCAAGACAAAAAGAGGCCCTCGCTGTAAATCTCTTCCACGTGCGTCGGCTCAGCCTCATTTAGTGTGATTTCCTCTTGACGGGCTGGTGAGACAGATGAGGTTTTCGTAATGAGCTTGCGAGGTGATTTGTGACCGCACGAGGAGCCCCTTCCCCAGCCCGGTGTCACAGCGGGCTGGCTCCAGGACAGAGCATGAGCTCACCCAGAGAGCCTGTGTGGTCTGGCTTTCTGAATCCGAAGGGACGGCCACTTGGGATTTGGGGCTGATTAGGGAGACAGTTTTGCTGGGTGTACTGTGAGATGGTGCCCCTTTCCAATTCTACAGTGGAGGGTTAAGTACTAAATTAAAAGGAAAAAAAAAATCACTTTTGCGTCTGATGTAAGATCAACAGAAAATGCCTAAAAAAATAACAGTGAGGAAGGAGCTTGGAGTCTTGACCTGTTCGCATGACCTGTGAATGAAGTGGCTGTGCTGAACGAATCTTGTTCAGCGATAAAGACCTGAAGATATGTCAGTGTGAGATTGTAGTCTTTAGAAGCGCTTCAAGGTTCCTGGTATTCTCCTACATCCTGACTCTTCAGAGGTAAGAAGCTTGTTGTTCTCTTTCAGAGCAAGTCCTCTGGAGAGTTTTCCTCAGCTTTGAGTTTCTTTAGGTTTGTAGCCGGGTGTACTAAAAGATGACATCCGCCCAATGTATTAGTGTGTAAGGGTATAAATGTAAGTTGAGATTTAGCGTCTTTGACTTATTGGACTTTCTGTAATGTGATCAGACTGTGATGCATCACACTAAATCTTAATTTATTTCACTGGTGCTTAAGAAACAGTTCTAAAACGTTATGAAATGTTTTACATGCTCAATATCCTTAATGCACAGTTAACGTCTCAGCTCCCCGGCCCTGACATTCATTTGGTCTGTATTTTGCTCCAGCACCTAGCCAGTATCACCGCATTACCTTCGGCTCTGGGGCTATTTCACCCATCATGGGACTCAGACCAGAAATCATAAACTATTGAGAGAAAATGTCCCCGCTATTGTAAAAGCAACTAATTGGCTCTTTTCATTCACTGCATGAATCAGGTCTCTGTTAAGCCCTTGATATCCATCTGCAAGCACAGATGAAGTAAGTGTTGCAGTCACAGCTTAATCCACAGGGAAACATGGGTTCATTTTGCAAGTAGATTGTTTTCTTTATTTTTTTTTTTGTTTTAATCTGAGCTTCTTTGTTATTTGTATATATTTTAAATCCCCTGAAGCACCAGTCTTGATCGGTAGCAGGGCATCTCCAGGCCACTGGAAACATCTGTCTTTACCAGTAGCTGTATCACCTCTGGTCTACTGAAAACATCTGTATTGACCAGGACATGGAGTCCACTGGAGAACATCTGTCTTTACCAGTAGTGGGAGAGTCCTAGTCGAATGCAGGATAGAGGCTTTAATGAGACGTTTTGGATCCAGGCTAGTTACTGTAGGTAACCTGGCCTTTACCCATCAGATCTATTCCCTATTTACTATTTCTGCATGCCAACTGGCAGGTTAAAACCAGGTGTTCTCTGTGCCAATGGGACTAGTGTAGCTCTGCCACCTCTAGGGTTTGAACTCGGACCCTCCCGGCGCACCACTCCACACCAGACAACAGCAGACAGTTTTGCCAGAGTATAATGACCATATATTGATTGATTATTAATTATTCTTGTATTTAGATGCGTAACTCAATTCGGGGGGAAAAAAACTCATTTATAGTCATGAGCTAGAGACCCCTTTATACAGCAGATTAAGCTGAGTGAAGCATCGGACGTGAACCTGCAACCCTCCAGTACACCTTGGACTTGGCTGGATGTTCAGTTTAATGGTTAACAGTTCAAGTTTGTCACATGTACCCGAATATAATGAAATGCTTACTTGCTTGTTTTCCTCAAGTCACAAATGACATAACCGATGATATAAGAGATGACATCATGTTGACATAGAAAATACATCTCAAATTGCTGGAGACGGGAACATGGTTATACTGTATATATGCTTTTAATTGTAAGCATTCTGGGTGTGGATCTGTGAGAAAGGATTAACGGATGGTTCCTTAATTGGGGGACTTTTCTGGAATCTTAAGAAGTGTGTGGGGGGGGGGGTTAGAGTGACCCTTGACTGTGGGGATCGATGGTCACACCCTGTAGGACCGACACCAGACTGATGGACACGCAGTGACCTGCTTTCCTTGTAGATCAAACGGTCCTGGTCGTGCCCACATACCTGAAATGTTTTTCACTGGCTGGTGTGACTGGATGATCCTGAAAGCAATGGGAAAATCAATTCACAGACCCCCCCGCCACCGCGGTCAGTCAGAAAAGCCAAATAAGACATGGCTTCATACAGACCTCTCACTGGCTGTCATCATCACCCTCTCTCTGTTCGTTTCAGTCTGTCATCTTGCTTTCCTGCGCCCTCCCTAAAGATTCAGTGACAGACGGACTAGGGCTCTCCTTTGTTTAAATTTGTACAAGCTCCACAATTAGTCCAATTAGGACATCCATCATGCCAGCACGTGCGTCTTCTCCTTCCCTAAATTGCAAAATATGACAGGGGAGTCATGTATTATTAATATTTTCATTTCTGGAGCCCGGAGGCTTTCAGCCAGGAGCTTCAGAGAACTATTGATCATTCCAGCACACCACACGGCAGAAAGACCGGAGGCACTTTTAAACAAATTGCTAATCTGTTAGCTACCGGGGGTGGGGGTGGGAGAAGAGAGGGCGAGAGAGACTGAGGGAGAGGGGAGAGGGAGTGAGGGTGGAATGGAGAAGGGGGGAAGAGGGGGTGATGGAGGGAAGGGGGGAGCAGGAGTGATGGAGAGAGAATGGAGGAGGGGGGGAGGGAGCCTTGCCTTGCGGTGACAAGATGCAAGGCGCAGGGATCGTTAACTCAATGAGGCACGTCTAAACGACAGTCGAGATCGTTAGGGAGCTTTTTTTTTTTTTTTAAAGAGTGAAACTGCGTGGGGAAATGAAGTGAAGATTTATAAGTAAACCGCTGGGAAGAATTCTGGCTACTGGCAAGCTGACACAACCCAGTTCCTTCACTCCCGTCTCTCCTCAGCTCCCATCACACTGAGCCTGTGCTGGAGCGACAGGGGTTTGGCACATCCACTCCTCCGCCCGCGCTTCAGTTTTTCTGCTCTTCCTTCGCTCTTTCCCTCTGTCGGATGAGTCCGTCATCACAGACCCCCCCCCCGAACTCATTTGCGCGGGCTTCCTGTCCTGCAGCAGCCGGAGGGGAACGGAACAGCAGCCGCGGGACAGCAGCCGCGGGACAGCAGCCGCGGGACAGCAGCCGCGGGACAAAGCGGGACCACGGTGATTGTTGCAGCATGACCAGCCTGCTGTGAACCTTTAAATGAGAAGACGGGGTTCGGTCCGGTTCCTTCGTGGTGGCAGCTTTCGGTTTCTGAGGATCGGCTCAGAGTGTTCTTTCAGGAGGGAGGCGGGGGGTGGGGGGAAGAGGAGGAGGAGGCACCTGTATGGAGATCTAGAGCGTAACGCTTCCAAAGTCTGCGGACGGGACACGCCCCTTTATATAGAGAGGAAACTGCTGAGTCGGGCCCAGGGGTGCTGAGTCACCAAAGAACCAGTGGCTCCCCTGTTTGGTCTCCCGAGTCAGGGCGTGCACAAAAGTAGGAGCGTGGTAGGAGCTTCTTCTGCCAAAGGTGACCTTGTTCGGGGTTGGCAGGTTCTTTTGGCTACCTATTGCCTTAATTGAACTGGTTCATCTCATCAACGGGTAAGGCTTTGTTCCGTGCAGTGAAGAAAGGAAAACAACGTTTCGGCTGTGGAGGCCTTGGTGTGCACCTTCTCTTAGCTCTCCCGGGCCCGGTTGGTGCGTGGAAGAGACCTAGGAACGATGCAGGCGGACCAGCCCTCCAGGATTGGGGTTGGGGAATCTGCACCAGCAAATCGCTGGTGTCGGTGTGACCTTGGGTTGGTCATAGCTGGCAAACGGTGTTCCTGGGTCTGGAGATCACAACTGGCTTTGAGAACATGCAGTCTGTTTCATAGGACAAACACTCGGTGGTTAAACCACACCTGGAAAACCTCCCTCATCAACACTGTTTTGTTCAGTAATATTTTTCATTGAGCCGTAATACTTTGCTTAGCGACGCCTTTTTAAAGCTCGCCATAGAAGTTACTTTTCTAGGCACCTTAGAATCTCCCCATCATTTAAAGAGCTGAAATCCAATTGAGTGAC